GAAATTGTCCCTAATATAAATTGCAAGACTAGTAGTATTTAAATGATCGTTTAGAACATTTTCAACCTTATTGTTTATTATAATATAAATATAGAGAATATTATTTTTTATTTGTTGTTTTAATGTTGAGTTTTAATTTAATAAATTTATTTTTATAAAACTCTTATGAATTAAATATGTTTAATTCATATTAGAATTTGGGGCACAATGTCCAAAGTTCAACAAAGTCCTGAAAAAGTACCTCTTTCCTAATGGCATAATACAAGAGGGAAGGCGTATGTAATGGTAAGGCTTCTACGTTGTCTTTATTACCACTGGGGTCTTAATAGTATTTGAAAAAGAGTAAAGCATGATTAAACGTAGAAGTCAAGTTTCAAACTTTATGAGTAAGGCATGAAAGAGCGTTAATTATTTTTATTACTATTTTAAATACTTAATCATTCCAAAAACTATTTAATAATTAAAATAATACTTACCAAACATCTAAAATTATAAAATAATATATTTACTTAATAATTCCTACAATTAGTCAATTATACGATTTTCAAGTTTTCAAAATGTAAAAACTAGACTATTTTTCATAATTTCGACTTCCAACTACACAAGTCTACATACCAGATTTATAGGAATTTCATACATATTGTTTAAGCTTTAAACAAAACAATAAGTCTAAAATCATAATCATATAATACAGATAGTACCGTAGCTTAAATCTTATCTAAATCTTTGTTGGATAAAGTCATTTTTTATTTTTGTGCAGAGAAATTCATTTAAAAACTTAAAACTAAAGTCAAATAAAAGCCTTTAAAAAAAAGTTAATAAATGAAAGTCATATAAAATATTTAAAAAATAAAAAAATTAATAAAGAGTGACTACGCACGCCTAAGTGCGCATTAAGAGGTCAATTTAGTAGTTGACCGCTTAATTTACACTTAATGCCAAGGCAAGGGGTTTTCCCTAAGCCTCGTCTAGGCGCGCTTTTTAGAACACTAAATATGAAAAAAATAGAGAGAATTGTTTAGAGACACAAACATTAGGCTATAGGGAGGGGACGGGGAGAGAGAGAGAGAGAGTTCACTCTCTATCTTTTCTTTCTTCATTCACATTGTTAGGGTGGTTCCTACATTCCTTGTAACTTGAAAAAACAATCATGGTCTCCAAAATGTCCTTGGAAGAGATCGAGAATGAACAAATTGTTCTTGTACGTGTTATCCTCCTTATGAAAATTGTACTATTATGTTTGAATGTGCTTAAATGCCTACTTTTTTCGGCTAAAAAGGTCTTTTTTTTTTAAGCACAATGTGCATTCTAGAATCATTTCTTATGTGAAGTGGCTATGGAAAAAGAAATATGTATTTATGATTGCCAGATACTTGATTTCTAGCAGTGTTTTTCATGTGGAAATATGTGTATTTGCAGGAGAAGATCCCTGTTGAAAAGTGTTCAAGCAGCTAAAAATGTACAAGAGATGGCTTGACATCCTATAAGGTGCAAAAAGGCTCCAAACTTTTGGCCCTAACAAACTTGAGGAGAAAACGGGAGCAAATTCCTTAAGTTCTTGGGTTTTATGAGGAATCAGCTATCATGGGTCATGGAATCTGCCACTGTCATGGCCATTGCTTTAGACAGGGCTAATCACATTTTACAGTCAGTTCCCCTCTGGATTTATTTTTAATTTTCTGATTGAAACAATCAAATGAATTATGCAGGAAAGGTTCGGCACTGGCAAGACTTTGTACGTATTGTGCTACTGCTCATTGTCAACTCGACTATTAGTTTCATAGAAGACAATAATGCAGGAAATGCAGCTGCTGCCCTCATAGTCGGCCTCCCTCCAAAAACCAAGGTATTGTTGTTTAAAAGTTTACTGTCTGCCCTTCAATATGCAGCCAATTTCATTCGAAATGGGGTAATATAATACCGGTTTTGAGAGATGACAAATGGACTGAGCTCCTGCCTCAATCCTAGTTCCAGGAGATTTGATTAGCATCAAGTCAGGAGATATTAGCCCAGGTGATGCCCATCTCTTGGAGAGTGATGCTCTCAAGATTGCTCAGTCAGCCCTCAGTGGCAAGTCTGTTCCACTAACGAAATTTCAAATATACTCAATAAAATACTCGATGCTCCTCTATGTGAGGGGTTCTCTCATTATATAGAACCAAAAGAATAACTAAATATGGTAAAAGAAATCTATTTATATATGGTACAATTATAATGATAATATAACCGTAATCTTCAACTAATCTTATTCAATCTCATTGACATCCCCCACAAATTGATACCGGTAAAAGCATCAATTTGCAATCATGAATTGGCGATAGGGACAATATTTGTGCCCACGAAGTAGAAATCCAAATCAGAGCAATCACCTACGAAAATTAGTGACGACGAGAGACCAAGAACAACAAGGAGTGCAGTAACCAACAAAGAACACTCCAAAGATACTCTAGAGAACTCACACTCCCCAAAAAGAATTTCCAAAAGAAATTCACAAAGTGTGCCGACACACACAGTGAGTTTTATATGTCGGAAGAACTTAGTCGAACACATAATTTGGGTTCCGACAAAAGCTCTAACTCCAAAACTCCAGACACTGCAGGTGGAAGAAATTCACAAAACAGCCTAATCCAAAACCCAAAGATGATCTTCTTCTGAGAAGCCAAAACTCTAGCTCATCACCTGAGCAACCAAAACTCAATGGTTTGCACTCACCAAAAGTTAACAATCTGCACTCCCATGTATCCCTTTTTTTTTTAAGCAATAATATCAGATTATAATTGCTAATAAATCAAGGAAACAATACATTTATAAGGTATTTACTTTACACATTTTCAAAAATACAAAAACAAGTTTGAAAATTCACAAATCAGGTTTTTTTAATTTTTAATTAATAATTAATGAATTACTAAATCAATTTATTATTAAATATTTAATTCTAATTTAATATAATTACCCCACCCCACCTCCACCACCCCAACCGACTTTCCGATCACCACTCTTCTCCGACGACTGTTCCGACGACCGTTCCGGCGACTAATCCAATTCCGGCTAATATGTTAAGGTCACAGATCTATACAATTTGGTCACAATTCAAAATTTTTTAGTTCACAATTCAAAATTTTCATAGGTCACAATTTGTTTATCGGTCACAA